AATTTGATTTGCTCAAAGGCTACTGGCAAGTGGCCTCTGACTGCTCGAGCACAGGAAATTTCTTCTTTCATTACTCCCTTTGGATTATATTCTTACACCGTAATGAGTTTTTGGTCTCAGAAATGCTCCAGCTACATTTTCAGCGTTTAATGAAACAGAGTGACCGCTGGATTAGAGGGTTGTGCCGTATATTTGGATGACATTGTTGTCTACAGTGACACATGGGATCAACATCTTATCCGAATTCGTGCACTGTTTAAGCGTTTATCTGATGCCAAACTCACAGTCAACCTGGCAAAGTGTGAGTTTGCCAGGGCGACTGTGACTTATCTGGGCAAAGTTGTTGGAATGGGCAAAGTGCGACCTGTACGTGCTAAGGTCATGGCGATTGACAAATTTCCTAGCCCTCAGACTAAGCGGGAATTGATGAGATTTCTGGGAATGGCTGGGTATTACAGGAGTTTTTGCCCAAACTTTTCTTCTGTTGTTGCCCCGCTTACAGATTTGTTGCAAGCAAAGGCTAAATTTGTGTGGACTCCAAAATGTGAAGACGCCTTTGAGAATGTTAAACGATTGCTCACATCGTCCCCTGTCCTGACAGCTCCACGACTTGATAAACCATTTAAACTTCAGGTGGATGCTAGTCAGATTGGGAGCTGGAGCTGTTCTATTGCAGGCGGATGAAAATGGTATAGATCGCCCTGTCAGCTATTTTTCACGTAAATTCAATTCATATCAAAATCAATTATTCTACAATTGAGAAAGAGGCGTTAGCGTTGATTTGGTCCCTGCAATATTTTGAGGTGTATGTGTCTTGTGGGACTATGCCAACTGTGGTATACACAGACCATAACCCCCTTACATTTCTTCACTCTCTGCAGAACCCTAATCAGCGTCTTATTAGGTGGTCTCTTTTCTTACAGCCTTATGCTTTGGAGATTCGTCATGTGAAAGGCGTAGATAATATCTTAGCTGACGCCTTGTCCCGGGCCCCATGCGGCGTAGAATAAGTTTCTTAACCATTTGTTTTCTCTCTCTCTCCTTCCTTTTATTGGTTTTCAATTCCTTAATTGTGCTTTTTCCAGGCGCCGGGAGATTGCTGGTTTTGAAACCAAGAGTTGTGTAGAGTTTGGGGAGGTAATAATGGTTATTGATCAATACGAATTCCGGTAAGGTTGTTTTTTATTGTTCATTTCCCATAGCATATGTGTGTTTTGGGGTTGAAAATAGTGAAAGGTAGAGTTTCTAATTAGAATCTCTCCCTTTTTTAAGGGGGGAGGTGTTACGGTTTGTTTTGGATTTGTTCTGCTGTCCTTTCTTTTCTTTTATAGGTTGCCAGATAAGGATCTACACCTGTCTGCAATTTGGAAATTATTATTTAAGATGGCTGGCCTTTGTGGAAGAAAGCTCTGATCCATCCTGTAGCTGTTCCCATCAGGAGCTGGACCTTCTATTGTTATTTCTTTATTGTTTGTTTGTTTATTTACTGTTGAAAGTTTCTTTTCTTTATTATTTATCCCCTGGACTTAATTAAATATATTTTGTTTAAATATATTTTTTGGACTCTGTTCCCTTTATTTTGTTACTTCCTGGAGCCGGAACGTAACACTTGGTCATACTTCCAAAAATAATAATCTGTGATTCTGAATGCCAGTATCCACACGGGCGTGGTGACTGACAGCCTCACAGTCTCCTCAAACATTGTGTTCATCCGCGCTGTGCCGTGTCGAGGGTGTCGAAGTACAACTCATGTAAAGTTGATAATTCCGCAAATATCTGCAGTTGCAGATTTCGAACAGAGATGGCGACAAAGAGGAAAAACGCCGGACTGCAGCTTTAAATTAAAAATAAGACCGTGTGTCCACCAAAGCGTTTTTCAACGCGCCTGGCGTATGTTTTCAATTGTTTTCAATGGGAGCGCCGCGTTTTTTAAACGCCATGAGCGTACCGAAGCGCTGAGCGTTTTTTTCACGCTGAAGCGCCGAGCGCCCAGTGTTTTTTACTGGTCGCTGGGAGTTGAAAAATGTTCAAATTTGGATAAAACGCAGCGCTCATCACTGTCACTTTTTACCCAGCCGTCCAATCACGGTGGAGGAGGGGCGGGACTAATACCACACCGACCAACTGTCACAACATTCAACTGCTGCGGATATTCTGTATCGTAGCAACGAAAACGTCTCAACGGAAAAAACGCTGAGCTGCCAAAACGCTCTCAAGCAGCCAAAGCACGGCGTCTTCAGCAGAGCGTCTAGCGTTAAAAACGCTTTGGTGGACACACGGCCTAAAGGAAAGTTAGAGAGAATTGTGCACAAATAAATGAAGGTACCTTTATATATTTCAGCAATTTCCGCAATCCATCAGGAACAACAGCCAACCACTGAACCCCACATATGGGCCATGACGGGTCAACAACCCCCTCTGCCCCCAGATCCCCCGCAAAACTGAGCTTGTTGTTCTTATCAGCACTACTTAGATCTTTGACTTTCCGAGAGGTGTAATAGTTTAGTGCAAAGAAATCCGCTGTGCCCAAAGGAGTGGGCTCTTCCTTTGAGAAGTGTGGTAGCCGAGAGCCCTGCTTGTATCCCAGATCCAAGCTCCTATTCTCAATCCTGAATCTCATGGACTCTGGGTAATCTCCTGTGCAAAACACAGGACAAGCAAACCAGCCCAGAGTGAAGTCCTTGTAGCGCTCAGTGGCTGCAGCATCTTTAGGACAGTCTGGGTTCAACGGCTCTGCCCAGTCACTGTTCAGGGCAAGAGACACTTGCCCTCCTTGTAAAGGCCTGAAATGAGTATTATAAGTATGCCAGGCTTTGGTGTGTGCACGCAGCATGTTATGTCCCACCAAGTAGACTGATATTCCTGGATCTTTGATCCCAGGGGCAAAGATGCCATCCTCATGACCCAGCTTGGCACAAATATAGGGCTCGTTCAGTGTGACCCAGAGCTTCACTCTGTCCCCAAAGGTCTTAAAGCAAAACCTGGCATAACTTTCAAAGATGTCTGCAATATCTGCCGAGTTCCATCCACCAAGATCCTGTAAGGCCTGAGGTAAGTCTAAGTGGTACAATGTGATCATGGGCGTCACATCACAAGCAATCAAGTCGTCGATCACTTCGTTATAATACGCCACACCTGAGGGTTGCGGGGAAAAAGTCAAAAACGCAGGTAAGCAACTTCAGGAAGTATAATGATTTAGGTAACAAATAGGACAAAATTTATGGAAACGTATTGCATTCACTTGATGAAACAACATCGACTCTGTTTTCCTGAATTAACGAGTTAATTATCTCAGAATTACGAGATCATTTTTCATAGAAATTTTTTTTTGCTGTTTTTCCGAATTAACAAGTTATTTATCTCAGAATTACGAGATCATTTTTCATAGAAATTTTTTTTTGCTCTGTTTTTCTGAATTAACGAGTTAATTATCTCAGAATTACGAGATAATTTTTCATAGAAAAAAGTTTTTGCTGTTTTTCTGAATTAACAAGTTATTTATCTCAGAATTATGATATATTTTTCTTGAAAAAAAATCAGTCTGTTTTTAAGAATTAATGAGTTACTCCTAATTTTTGAGATAATCAAGTCATTAATTCAGAAAAACAGAGCAAAAACTTTTTTCCATGAAAAATTATCACATAATTCTGAGATAATTCACTCGTTAATTCAGAAAAACAGAGCAAAAACGTTTTTCCATGAAAAAGTATCACATAATTCTGAGATAATTAACTCATTCTTCAGTTAGACAGTTTTTTTCAAGTGAATGCAGTACGCTTCTGTACAAATTAATCTTGCACACTTTTTTACATTGTCCGTGTCAATCGTTTAAATAATTTAGAGTCGTCATGAAACAGATATTTTCCTTACTAATGTGACAAAAGTAGGGCAGGACTTGATTTTGTCCATTAGAAATTGATTAGATAATTGTTGTTGATTGCTTTGATCGCATATGAGCGACACATAATCAGAAAAGAGACGTCAATGAGAGGTTTTTGTTCAAACATAATTTTGATTAAACATTCCGATGGCACTTAAATTTTATAAAAAGTGCATTTATAACCATTTATAATTAACAATGCAATATTCCATAAAAAATAAATTTAAACAAATGTGTAAACAATTATTTGAAGCTGAAATAAAATCTAAGAAAACAGAGAAGTTGACATTTTGTTTACTCAAACTTGTTCATGGATTAAGAATGCTAGAGCTTCAATAAAAGCAATTTGACTTGGTTTTCATATTTTCCTGTTCCTACAGTTGAATATATATGCTATTTAGATAAGCAACTAATCTTTTTGCGTTTTTTGGTGAAATTCATAATTTCAAAGTATTATTTACAGTGTTTGTAAATCTGTTTATCACCGAGAAAGAACACAAGATTGATTTTTTTTTTATTTGACTCTTGTGAACCTCACAAAGGTTGCCATGAGCACCTTTTGGATTGACATGATTTGTGGTTCCATCGGGAAGGAGCCGTGACCAGGATATGGACAGACGGTAATGGGTAAGACCAAGCTGTTGGATACATTTCAGGTCCTCTTTCCAGAGCTGATAGCTGTTACAGGCTACATCTCCATTATGGTCTTCAAACACCCGTCCTTTGATGTGAGAGAATGTGTCCCATATGCTGGCACCTCTACCATCCATATTCCAGCCTCCTGCAAGATAATTTAAGGAATCGAAAGGAAATGTTAGACCCAATATATTCTCATTTAATTTTCGTTTGACATGTACAACTGTCAAATAACAAAGTTTGAGTGCTACAAAATAACAATCCACATCTGCCTTCAACAAAAAGTACTGGGGTGTTATAATCTAGCAATATCAGCTTACCATGGTATTTGCATTGTACTAATGAAGAAAACCATAATTACCATGGTATTTGTTATGAAACATGACAATATTATGATGCCACGTTAAAAATCTTTGTAGTATTTTTGTTAGAGTAACTGAACGCTATATTCTTAGAAAATTGCAAATTGTTCCTATTACATGCTTCCTGAAAAGATGAATCTGCAAGTGAGTTAAATCAGATAGGTGTGCAACCACCGCGACGTTTACAGTAAATGAACACTAGTAAAATGTACCTTCTATTTGATAAGCAGCAGTCGCAGCTCCCCACGCAAAGTCCTTTGGAAATACGGTTACATCAAGTGAAGACATATTTTAAGACAATGATGAAGAGGAAACTAGACAAAGTTATCCCGTTATTAAAGGGAATGCAATAAATACATGCAATCAAGTCTGTCTGCAGTTTCGTGGCTTGGCAGTGAACGTAAGCACGCCCTGCACGTTACGTCATCGCGCACCGTCACGAGATCGTCCAATCTATTTTTTTATATATACTTATTTAGGTTACATTAGTGACTTTTTTAATATCATTTACATTTTTGACGTTTTTTGCTTAATTTATTTTTTTTGGGTAGAATAGAATCGTTAATAATTTGTTTTTAGGCTCAACAAATTGTAATGCAATTGGTTTAGTTTGTTGTCATGTTTGTCATGTTTCGTAAGAGACTAGAAAGTAAATGTAAACTGAATAGCCCCAAGGATAGAGACCTTTGACCTGCATGAGGCGCAGTCCTCTTTACACACGTACGGCTTCTAAATTGTCCCTGCCTGTTCACAATGACAATCTATAGAAAGATATATCCCATGGGAAGCCGAAACATCTCCATGCGATTCAGAGTCACGAACGTTGCACAAGGCATTGTTCTCGTCAGCTCGTGATACGACGAAGACCCATCTAAGCTAACTTTTTTCCTTTTCTTTCTTTTTTTTTCCACTACTGCCAACCTGTCTAAACTTGTTTGTAGTGCAGCAATGCAAAGAGAACCTTTTGTGAGGGCCACACAAAAACAAATGAGCACAATGGATCAAGGATCCTTTAGTATTGTGGTGCATTTTGTTTTGTGGTTTTGTAATGGAAAACCATAACTTTAAAGGAAATCGGTGTGTTTTTTATTAACTGCAGAAGGGGGTCACTCAGTTGTCTCTTACATGTTTAGATAAAATATGCTATATTAAAAATTATGTCTGAATACTCATATATATATATATAAGAGACTAGAAAGACTATATATATATATTAATATTCAGATGTAAATTTTAGATTAAAATTTAGAATAATGTAAATAGAAAAGCATATTTTTTGTTATGTAACCTGGCAGGTTACAGGTTAATCCTGACAAATACTTTAGCACTTTACATAGTCTTAAATAATCCGTTGTTACAAAATAATTTTTACAGATAGAAAAATATAGTCTCTCAATTAATGAGGTGAGGTCATAAACTGCATTTTGTTTAACATTTAACATGTTTTAAATAGAGTACTGCACTTCACACAGATCAGCAACATTTTAATGACATAAAAACATTTAGACCAGTTTTATATACTAACGATTTTAACAGGGTTAATTGACTCTTATTATTATGGCCCATAATAAGAGTCATTTAAACCTGTTAAAATTGAGTAAAAAGTAAAAAGATTTACTCTAATCTACAGTATACAGATCAGTGGAAAAAGTAGCAAGTGCAATTTGCACGCCTGGAATATTAATGACTAAAATTGATGGTAATAGAAATCTGAATTATATAATTAAAAAACAAGGAGAGGGGTTAATAGCCTACTGATAAAACCAAAGAGGGCAAGAATTCACAAGATTTTTTTTTTTTTTAATTTTCAGAATGATATAATTTAATAAAGTGCATTTACCATCAGATGGCTATTTACAGGGTACAACTTCAATAACCTTCAAAAATGTGTCGAGGAAAGAGCTGTTTTACCCAAGAGAGTTTTAGTTAAATAAATAGACAACACTGACAGCAGGAGAGCAAACCTCATAGCACTACCAATATATATATATATATATATATATATATATATATATGTGTGTGTGTGTGTGTGTGTGTGTGTGTGTGTGTGTGTGTGTGTGTGTGTGTGTGTGTATCATATATGTAGCCTAATGTATGTATTGTATCGCATCGCCTTCTGCTTCAGAAATCTGTCACATTTTTTGTTAATATTTAAACAAAGACCTTTGGCATGAATGCTATTTCACCAGTAGCCTACAGCATGTTCCTCTATCAACATGTTTGTTGATCCTATAGATAGAACAATGTTCCAATCAACCATTCAGACCTAAGTGACCATTTTAAATTTTATGTAAGTTTAGGCTTACAACCCGGGTTTAGGTGCTTCTACATCAGTTATTATTCACACACCATTTCCCTCTAATTTTAGGGATATGATCAGGGTTAGGTTTAGGGTTCGTTCAGAATGTTGTTGCAGGGTCAACAAAATATGTGGATTAAAAAAAGAGCGAGAGATATTCTATTATATGCCTACTGACTGATTCAGTAGCCTGTAGAAAATATTATCTTCTAAATTAAATGCAATATTGTATAATGTGGGCAATAACAGCAGTGGGTTTAATTAAAAGGATCGGTGTTGATAGACTGTAAAAAAGGTGTTGACCCAGTCTAAAGTGTTCACCGGAGTTCAGACCAAACCTATGATGACGTCACGGGAGGAAATGGAACATGGAGCCCGAGGCTCAGAGAACAGCAACACACTCGGCTATGAACTGAATAGCGCTGGACACATTCACGCTTTTACTATCTCACCGACCGAAGACCTTCACTCTCGGACCCTGGGTTACACATTCCGGTTGTATCTCTCACAAAGCGTTTTTACCGTCTTGGTCGTAACAGCATTCAGCCTATGGGGAACAGGAGCAAAGTAGAGACCAACTTTACGCATTCAGTTTCTCAAGAATGGTTTTATTGTTCGGCACGCGGACATGTCGCGATTAATGACCTGTTTTAGATAATCTTCAAATAACTACCGTCCAGAAACGCTTTCCATTCTTTCGGAGTTCAAACGTGGAGTGAGATGAGCACAGAGAAAAAGTTTATGTGAACAGCTTTCTTTGAGTTTGTAAGTGAGACTGTTATCTCGGGATGGTTGCAGCTGTCTCTCTTTTAGCGCTGGAGCGAGATATCCACTTTGACTTTTGACTGGAAACAAAGAAAATGCCTCGTGTAAAACAGTGGAAACTTGCGTACAACCGGCTGGAGAAGGTTTGTTGAGTTGTACAATGATGCTTATGGAAAACAAAGAAGGATATTCGACCGCTGCCTTTCGGACTGCTTAATGTGGAGAGCAAAAACCATGATAAATCGTCCCATGTAATGTTGTGTCGAGTCAGTATTTCGATCATGACTTAAAGGGAGTGCTGGTCAGCGTCTCTGCTTGATGGCTTTTGACGAATATTCTTTGCAGAGAACGTGTTTACATATAAACAACAGCAACGATAGGCTTTCTGGGGCTATTTATATGCTAATCTGACCCCTCGTCTTGCCGTGTGAATATCAACGAAGGAAGGAGTGATGTCGGTGAGCGCTACTTGTGTCTTTTTCCTGGCTTTTGTGCTTCTCAGAAGCTCGAGCTCTGCAGCATCGACTGAATGTAAATCATATGATGAACGCTCCAAAAGTGCAGTAGGGAAAAGCTCTTCGTCTGGAGCCACACTGGACAGAAAAGTGGTCTGCAGTAACATGGAGCTCCATCAGGTGCCTTCTACTGAATCATTTCCGAACAGAACAGTCACACTGTAAGTTAACACTCTTTTTTCCTCACAGAATGAACATTGCCATTTATCTAAAAAAAAAAAAGCCCAACCACACATCACGAGGGTCATTCCTGCCATCTGACCTCATCACTTCTGGTCCTTCTGGGAACCTTTTGATAAACAAACTGTTTTCAAAAGTCATACAGATCAAACTGAACGACTTAGATGCATAGTAAATATACAAAACATATTTTATGTTATAACACTGATCATTTGATACTAAATAATTAGCTGATTACCTTTTTGCATTTCTTCAAAAGTCTAATAATTTTAGTCAAGAATGATTAGCCTAAAATTATTTTTTTGAGTGTGATTGAACCTTTCGAAGGACACATTTAGTCAATTCATCTATGATTTTCTTTATTGAACTATGATTAAAACAAATACTAATCATAAAAGGTTGGTCATCATAACAATAACAGGAAGTACCTTATTAGCAGGGAATACTTATAAAATGTAAATTGTATATTTTACTTAATTTTGGGTAACCTAAATTGTACAAGCTTGTGCAGTTTTTATTTTGCATGCCTAAATATTAGTGAACCGGTGTGACCTTTCGCTGTTGTTACTTAAAGGGGCAGTAGATGTGCTGGTTGAAAGTGTCTTCACATCCTAATAGCAATTATCATGTTAAGCGGTTTGTATTTTGTGGAAGGCGTAGGACTATAAAATGTTAAATCATTGCATTCGGTCCGAATGAAATTTATAGCATGTGTTTCATCATTCAATGCTAGCAGGCTAAAGTTAGCATTCCCCAAATCACCTATTGCAGACTCCAATCTACTAACCTGGCTGCCAGCCCGAACCCCGCCCACAAAGTTTTTTGGTCGGGAAGTTCGGTGTGGACTCGATCCATTGAGGAGTAAAGAGTAATTATGATCAGTTCAGAAATAGTTGGGCCAATCAAATTGCCAAGGTGGGCTAATGGACAGATGATCTGCAGTTACGTAATCAACACGTTATCAAAAAGCGCTTGGGTTTAACTGGTTTCGAAGTCTGGAATCTACAGTCCAAAGACCAGAATATTTCTACACTGGTTTGGTTCAAACCTACGACTAGCCTTTACATACTTTTGATTGCTGTATCGCCACCATCAGGTGGATTGGGGCGAGATTTGTTGACATTGTAGACAAGGAGAGTATTACCATCCGTCAAAGTTTCAAGTCTCTACGACTTACGGTTTGGTCTGCCCAATCACTTTTAGGGGAGAATGCTGATCCTTGGAAATTCAAACTATTATAATATGGTTTCAGCACTTTGTGCTAATCATGGTTCCAATAAAGCCTTGTTCACACTACATGATTTTAAAACGTCGGGCTGAACTGTGCTTTGAGGGAAAAAAAAGCAAAAAAAAAGAAAAAAATAAGATTTACTCGGTGACCTCAACCCATGCCTTGCTCTGATTGGCTGGAGCTCATGACGTCACTGAGGTTGAGTCGCGCGACAGCTCTGGATATCTAGCATGCTATATTTTTATTTTTCTTTATTATTGATATTTTTCTGGGCTTGGTAACTCGTCTGCAAGCGTCTTTGATGTGTTGTTGGCTCTTTCATACTAACAGATTGGCAAGCGTTCATCGCCTGCTAATCCCCGTGATTTGCACGCGATAACACCCTGATCTGTCGGCGAGCTCAACGATTTGCAAATCGGGCTTAAAATCCTGTAGCGTG